TCCATAGCTCATACCCCACAAGAGTATCATAATCGCGAGCTTCATCAAACAAAGGGAGGCCAAAATGATGTACAAATTCTCTTTTGGTTAATGAACGATTTTCATTGAGTAAACGAAAGGTGATGGTGTCATTTGCATGATCATCATTATCCTTTGTATACACGTATGAACTAAAGAATTCATAAACCAAATGAGGACAAGTCACATATTGCATTTCAAACAACCTAGTCATTCCAATTCTTGCGAATATATCACGCATGATCGCATCAATCCAAAAGAGTGCTAAAGTAGTAATGCACATGAACCGGGATTGTTTTACCTCCCTTTCTGCTTGTTCCTTGGAGCTTTTCTTGTGTGCCTCTGTTGCAAATTCCACACTTTCATAGCCCGCCACCGGTGGGATAGCCCTTGTAGAAGAAGCTTTGGACTTTTTTGGAGCCATGGTAGTGGATATTTTTTTTGATTTTTCTTTGGGAATTTCGGACTTTTGGGTGTGGGTGGGATTGGGTGGCTTTTATGGGTGTAGAATGAAAGAGGGTGATGAGAGGAGCAAGAATATTGTATTGGTTGGGAATTTTTGAGGTTGGATACGGACCTTTGATGTCCAAAAATGGGGGTTCGAATTTTTGGGTAGGGTTTTTGGGTTTGGTTGATTTGGAAGGATTTGGGGGATTTTATGGGTATAGAAATGAAGGAAATGGAGAGGAGAAGAAGAATACGGGATTATTTGGTGGATTTGGTGGAGAAATGGTGTAGAATCGAAGGTTTTTGTGGTTGAAAATGGAGATTTGGGTGTAGGGTGTTAGAAATTGGGTAGAGGAAATGAAGAAGATGATGGCCGCCCGACCTGGTCTTAGAGAATTTTTTCGTTCACCCGGCCAGGTGGGAGTGGTTACCCGGTCGGATGTTGTGTTGGTGCAGATACCAGTAGCTACTGGAAACAAATACCCGGTCGGGTGGTTCACTTGGCCCGGTCAGGTTCTGTATATTTTCGCTCTGGTGCTTACTGGAATGAATACCCGGTCGGGTAGGTTATGGTACCCGGTCGGGTATTAGTTAATCTTTGCCTTTTTCATTTTATTTTCGTCCGGCCAGGTATATGGGTTGACCCGGTCGGATTTTTCAAAGCAGGGGCCATAATCAGATTCTTTCATTTATTCGGACGGGTGCGTTGTTCTACCCGATCGGATTTTCATCCCAGGGGCAGCAGTACCCTTTTTGTGGTTGTACCCGGCCGGGTGGGTTAAGGCACCCGGTCGGGTCTATCAAGAATTGAAAGTTTTTGCCTTTGCTCGCCCGGGCGATTGGGCGGGTAATGTGTTTTTTCCACAAACCCCATCGGTTGAACTCTAACACCCGGCCGGGTGTGTGCCCCAGGCTCTTTTTTTAAAGGTTTTTACACACACACACATGAAAATTAATGAAAATAAAAATAAAAATAAAAACAAACTTGGGTTGCCTCCTTAGAAGCGCTTGATTTAATGTCGCGACACGACGTTATTTTTATTTTGTTTTCTGTTTTAAGTGGGATCATGAGCATCCCTCGTTTCATTTTCAAAGACCATGTTTGGCCATGTTTCAACTTTTTTCTTCGACCTTTTCCAGTAAGGTCGAATTTTCTTCTTCGTCACCACCTCAAGTGTAGGTGGTTTTAATTTATTGTGTGGCGATTTCATCCATTCGCCATTTTCCAACACTGGTTTTTGTTCAGTTTTCATTTCTTCAAACATTTTGGTATTGTCGCCTTTATCTTCAACCGAAACACGTGATGCTCGTGGTTCAAAAACATTTAAAGAACAAAGAGACTGATCTTTAGCTTGTTTTTTCGTAGAATCAAAGATATTAAATTCTACTTTTTGGTCATCGAACTCTAAAGTTAATGAACCATTAGATACGTCTATTTTTGTTTTGGCGGTTTTCAGAAAAGGTCTACCCAAAAGGATGGGTGTTGTTTGGTTGTCATCTCCCATTTCAAGTACGTAGAAGTCAACAGGGAAAACCAAGTTTTCTACTTCGACTAGCACATCTTCTATTACACCCTTCAGGTAAGTATTAGACCGATCCGCTAGTTGAATCACTACACCAGTTTGATGTAGCGGGTCGAGTTGTAAGGATTTATATAAGGAGTAAGGAATAACGTTTATTGATGCTCCTAAATCCAAAAAGGCTTTAGAAAACTTGGTGTCCCCTATTTTGCAAGGAATGGTGAACATGCCCGGGTCGTTACATTTTTTGGTAAGTTTCTTTTGAAAAATGGCTGAGACACGTTCACTAACCTCAACCCTTTGTTCCCCTTTCAGTTTATTTTTCCTTTTCATTGTGCATAGTTCCTTTAAGAATTTTGCATAACGGGGAACACTTTTGATTAGTTTGAAGAGTGGGATGTTTACCTCACAATTGACGAAGGTCTCGTAGAGGTCCCGATCATTCTCCACCTTTCTTGTGTCCCTCAATGCCTCAGGAAATGGAGGGAGTGGTTCATACGATGAAAGTAGAGGGAATTTAGTTTTCGTTAGTTCCTCCTCTTTTGGTTGAAAGGCTTCTCCAAGCTCAACCTCTTACTTTTCCTCCTCAACTTCCCGTGCTTGCAATTCTTTATCGCTCCTTAACATGATTGCATTGACATGTTGTCTTGGGTTTTGCTCAGTTTGGGAAGGGAGCTTACCCAAATCTTTTGCCTCGATTCGACTTACGGAATTCGAAATTTGGCTAACTTGAGTTTCCAAATTTTGAATGCTCGACTTGGTGTCATATTGGAATTGCATCATGGTTTGTTGAAATTGCCTCATGTTCTGCTGTATTCTTCCCATATTAACGGCAAGTGCTCGAATCATGTCTTCGGTGGACATACTCGAGTTCGTTGTTTGGCCTTGTTGTTTATATTGTTGAGGAGGGTTTGTTTGTTAAGGTTGTTGAGAATTTCCGTACCTTAAATTTGGATGATCCCTCCATCCCGGATTGTAAGTATTGCCTTGAGGATCGTACCTCCTTTGACCTTGGAATCCCAACGCATTGACTTGCTCGGAATTCTCCTCTTGAAGTGTTGGGCAAGAATCGGTGGGATGCCCTTGTGTCGAGCATATGCCGCAGACCTTGACTTCTTGGGTTTTCGGATTTAAGAGAAAATCGTTTAGCAAAGAAGTCAAGCCGGCCACTTGACTTTCCAACGAGTTGTTGGATTCCGCTGCCATGACTCGTTTTGATGATGACCTCCTGTTGTAATGTCTCGAGTTTTCGGCTAACTCCGAAATGAGGTCTCTTGCTTGAGAAGAGGTTTTGTTAACAATACCTCCTCCGCATGCCGCATTCACCATGTGTCTATCTTGATCAACAAGACCATCATAGAAGTAGAGGATGAGATCTTGTTCCGAATACCCATGATATGGGCAACTAGCACATAATTTTTTAAAGCGCTCCCAATATTCGTACAAGGTCTCATCATCCGCTTGTTCAATGTTGTTGATTTGCTTCTTGAGACTTGAAGAGATAGATGCGGGATAATACCTGTCAAGGAAACTCTTTTTCATTTGAGCCCATGTATTGATGCTTCCCGAGGGAAGGTAGAATAGCCAATCTTTGGCGGTGTCTTTAAGGGAGAATGGAAAAGCTCTCAACTTTATTTGCTCTTCAGACACGCCAGTGGGGCACATGCTGGTGCACATTATATGGAACTCTGACAGGTGTTTGTTCGGATCTTCCCCTCGTAGACCATGGAAAGAGGGAAGTAGATGAATGAGTCCAGATTTTAGCTCGAATGTGACTCCCGTATCAAGAGTTGGAAAAGTGATACATAAGGGTTGTTGATTAAGATTCGGAGCCGTGAGCTCCCTCAATGTTCTCGTTTCAAGAGCCATAGTGGTTGGCTCTTCGGTGTCGCTAGAATGAGAACTAGCTCTTGATGAGTCTCCCGAGTCGGTACTTGAGAATTTGTTTTTCAACCGCTCGAGAGCTTGTTCTATTTCGGGGTTTGTTTGGTAGGTGAGTTGGTTTATGGATCGGGTTCTTACCATATACTCAAACAAAGCTAAGAAAAATAGAAATCTTTATATATATATATATATATATATATATATATTTCTTGATATAAAATAAATAGAAAAATTAATTGCCTTTCCCCAGCGACGGCGCCAAATTTGACGGGCACTTTGTCACAGTGCGTCAAAGTAATATTCGATACTAGCACTTATACGTAGTATAGGTGAAGTAGAGTTTGTATCCACGGAGAAATGAATAATTCTCTTTTTATGAAACTAGTAAATAAAAGGGGGATTTTGGGATTGAATGATTTAATTTAAAAACTAAGATGAACAACCGCTTTAATTCAAAGATAAAAGAACTTGGCATTGCTACTTTCCACTTGTTGATATATTTTAGTTGATCGTTGTTATATCTATAATTTATTCCCTCTCGAATACTCAATCGAGGAGTATATCCAATTCATCGAGGGTAGTTATTAACAACGACCATTCATTAATAATCTTTACTATTAGTCAAGTATGAAACACCGTCATATACCGATTTGATAGTAGCATTTAATCTCTTAACTCCTTGATGAAATCAATTGAGATTGATAACCTCAACACAACGGTTTCGGTTTAACCAACAAAATTAATCCCTCTTAAGTTTATCAACCACGACCGTGCATTAATAAACCGAAGTTACTTACTTGTGAAACCATCAACGATTAACCATCGGTTCGTCGATCATTTCTAGTAATAATTAATATATGAAACAAAACTAGTTGATCCTTTAAGTAATGTTCAAAATATTAATATGAAATATGAATAGGGATTAATTTATATTCAAGGAAGAATATTATTAAAGGAGATGAATCCTACTATAATTAATATCAACACTCCCCAACATTAATATAGAGGAAGAAAATACTACTCTAACTAACGTCAAGATGTTAACTAATTGTCATCTTATCAACACTCCCCAACATTAATATAGAGATAATATTAAGGAAATAACTAATAATTAATATTCAAGGAAAGAAATTAAGAAAATAACTCACAACTTTAATAATCAACAAGCTTCAAAAGCAACACCAAGAATTGGAAGTTTAGCTCCTCATTTGGAGACTAAGCATAGCTAGAAAAAATATAGAGAAATGTTATTCTAAACTGAGCTTAAGAGTATGGAAGAAGGGATGATTTTTAATGAAGGAAAAGTGGGCTATTTATAGGTGTTTTTCAACACCTTTGGCCGGATACCCGACCGGGTCAAGTACTTACCCGGCCGGGTCCGGTCAAAATCAGATAATCCGCCACGTTCTGGTGATCTTCGCACGCCGGATTGTCCCCAGTCACTTCTCACCCGACCGGGTGAGGTAGTGGGCCCGACCGGGCCATGCACTTTCTTTGCATTTTCGTTTTTCACTTCTTACCTGACCGGGTCAAGTATTATACCCGGTCGGGTATTTGCTCCTGGGCAGCCAAATCTTCTTTTTCTTCACTTCAAAGTCTTCCTTTCCATTACTACAAATCCTAACTAGACTTTACAACTTACAAATAAAGACTAAAATACAATTACAACTAAAATCACACAAATGTTTATAAACTAAATAAAACGTCAAACAATCACCATAAATCAAACATAAAAACATATAATGATGCACTACTAATTAGTGTGCATCAGTGTACTGGCCGATAACGGCTATTTGGAGGCCCCTCCTCTCTCTCTTACAGTGATTAGGATGAAGCCAGGTGTCTGGCTGGTCCCACCGTAGACATCATGAGACCAGATGCAGGCAATCTCCCTTCCTCGTGTCCCCCGGGATTTTTCATGGTCCATAACGATGCCTTAGACCAAGGCTTTTGGTTCCCGTTGCATCCATTCTTTGTGGAATACCTCAACTGTGTTGGGTTGCTCCCCTGTCAGATAACCCCCAACGGGTTCTACCTTATTGCCGGCTTTTTGCCGCATTGTTAGGAGCTGAAGATCGAGGTCAGTGTGGACCTCTTCCGCCATCTGTTTCAGATTGGTCTTAATCCTTCCAAGGATAATCAGAGCTAGGCTGTTATCTCCCAGCATTATGGCCGGAGTGGTTTCCATAACACCCCACTTCTCACCATGGATGGAAGCACATGTTTGTGTTTGTCTATACGAGAAGGGAGGAACGGTCTGTTTGATGATGTCGTGTAGACCTACATAGAGTTTGGTGACAAGAATATCAACCTGTATGTGACAGAGGAGAAGTTGGCAGGAAAGCTTGGCTTTAATTTCTATAGCATTGTTCCTACTGAGGACCATGGGGCTCAAGTGGAGGATATGATGTTGATGGTGCAACCATTGAGGGACACAGTGTTGCAGCTGCTGTTGAGGAAGAGCCCAAGAATGGGCAGATGCTGATGAGCAGGCTGGTGCCCAAGAGAGGGTTGACCTAGTTGCGACTATTGTCGCCTCATTGCCTGATAGACAGGGAGGTTCTGCTGCAGTTCCCACTGCTTCTAAGGTGTTGGGACCTGAGAACTCAAGCGATGAGAGGGCTTTTGCCCACATGTCTCTCCTCAACAGCGATGAGAGGGCGGGAGGGGTTGAGTTGGCCCCCAAGAAGAACAAACACCAGAAGGAGGTCTGTTCTGAGATAGTGAAAGAGCAGCTGCTGTTGAGGAAGAGCTCAAGGTGGGACTTCCACTTCTGGGCAAGGTCTCATTGCCACCGCAGTCCGCAGGTACCTTGTTTTTCTCTTAGTTTGACACTCTGTTTTGTTGCATGAATTTGTGGTGTCAGTGTCTGCATTGTGCATTGTGTTTTTTCATCTATACTGTTGTGCTTGACAGGTGGCTTAAGGAGAAAGACTAAGTCCTCTGAGTGGGTGAGGAGAAAGACTAAGTCCTCTGAGGGGTGAAACAACCTGAGCCCTCCCCAAGTGGGTCCTCACCCTCCTCTGAGGATAGTGATGAAGATGATGAAGATGGTGTTGGTGCCGCTCAGCAAGACAATGTCGCGACCAGAGAGGGTGCGGATAAAGAAACCCGTGATGTCGCGGAATTTGGTGGAGATGTCGTAGGTAAATCCAATGTCGTGGTCGAAGATGGTGATGTCGTTGCGCAGTCCCATGTCGCGGCTGATACAGATGGGCACTGATCTCAGGTCCCAACATCCCCGTGCTAAGGCTGTCACTGTTGTCACTCCTCCCCACCCAGATGTGGTCATGGTGGAGAGTGAAGATGATGATGACGCGGATAAAAAGATCATTTGGCAGCTACAGGACCGGATATATCAAGATCATCCCGGGCCCAGCAGCGCTTCTACTTCCGGAAAGGGGTCTAATCAGCCGTACATCCCCAAAGACTGGTCGGGGAAGCAGAAGTTCCAGTTCTTTATGGATGGTGATGACAACTTTGTGGTCGAAAGCATCAACACCATGGACTTCTTGACTAAGATCTGGCTCCCCTCTGATGACCGGTTGATGAAGAGGATGAGTTCTAGGGGTATTGCCAATGAGCTCACCTCCACTGCTCTTAAAGTGTCTTTTATGCATGTCTGTTATGCTTTCTTTCAACTTGTTGTTTACCTGTTTATTTATTAGTTCTTTTTCTGCCGAGATCAGGGCTAAAAAAGCTGAGAGAAGGGAGATGGGCCTCCTTCATACCAGGCACCTGATTGAGCAAGCTCTAGAAATCTCTCAGAAACATGTTGATAAGTTGGAGAGAACTGCTGATCGGGCTCTCGAGCAGACTTTCAGTTTAAGGAACTGCTTGATGAGTTCACTAAGAGAGCCTTAGATGCGGAGGCAGCGGAGCAGCAGGTGGAGGTCTTGGAGGCCACCTTAAAGGAGGGCGAAGCTCAGTTTGGAGCCCTTAGGGCGACTGCAGATGAGGTTGTAAAAGCCCTAGCTGAAGCAGAGGATATGGCCTCTGGCTTTAAAAAGAATGCCCAGTGCTTCGAGTGTCTGTTTAGGGAGGCCTCAGAGAAGGCCTGAGTTAACTATGAGGGGTGGCAGAAGAAGATGATTGAGCTCTCCACCAAGCTGGTGAAGGAGCGTGATGTGCTCCACGATAACCTGCAGAGAACTATCTCCGGAAGTAGGAGTGGACTCGGGCCGGGCCAACCGGCCCGGAACCGGACCGGCCCGCTACTGTGCGGGTCCGGACCGGCCCGGTTTGGCGGTTAGTTCACGGTTCGGGCCACCCGGCCCGGTCTTCAAGCGGTTCGGTCCCGGGCCTAGATTTTAGTGAACCAGTCCGGCCGGGCCTCAACGGTCACTTTTTTTAAAAAAAAAATTAAAATAATAGAAGGCTCCATAGCCGTTGGGAGACCTCCCAAACGGCTCTATAGCCGTTGGGAGCATAGGAGGGGGGTCTGGCGGGTTAGGGGGGTGGGGTGGGGTGGGGGTGGGGTATACAAAAAAAAACTATTTATAATCTTATTTTCTACTGTGATGATGTGAATATGTAGGAAACAACCGAAGACGGAGATTCCGATTGATTTTTTATTACAAAATGTATTATATTTTTTAAATTCATCCTAATTCTCAATTGTACTTCTTATTTGAAATAAATATACTTGAATTCGAATATAATATATTGTAATTGTAATAAGAATTATTCTAATAATATAATATATAGTAAAAAAAAATTAAAAGGCCCAGCCCGTGAACCGGGCGGGTGACCCGAACTGAACCGGACCCGGGGTTATCCGGGCCGGTTCCGGGCCTGCCTTCCATGAACCGAGGCCCGGCCGATTCTAGGCCCGAACCGGGCCCAGCCCTAACCGAACCGAGTCCACCACTATCCGGGAGGATGCTACCAAATCTGAAGTGAACAGCCTTAGAGGGTCAATTAGCTGAGGCTAGCCAGCAAGCCAAGCTCATGCAATGACGTATTGACTATGTAAATAGGGATGGATTCGGGCCGGGTCGGGCCCAGGCCGGGCCTAGGCCCAGTCGGGCTGCCGGTTCAAGAACAGTGGGCCCGGGACCGGCCCGAGGGTTGGACGGGTCCGGTTCGGGCCGGGCCACCCGCCCGGGTCACGGGTCGGGTCCGGTTCGAGCCGGGCCGGTTAATTTTTTTTTTATAATTTATATTTTATAGTTTATAGTTTTATACGAGTATTAAAAACAAACTTCAATTGCATTTATTTGAAATGAAATAGGAACTACATTTGAAAATTAAAACAAACTTTAAGAGATAAACATTTTGAAAATTGTAATCAATCGGAACTTCCCGCACCTCCCGATCCTTTGGCTTTGTCACATGACTTCATATGCTTGATAGCCATCCCGAATCCGTCTGAAGCCCCCATGATACATTTTTTTTCGCACCATTTGCAAATTGCATACCACATCCCGGTCTTCGGGTCCTTCTGCTTATCAAAATTATACCGTATAATGACATTTTGATTTTCCATCTTAACTTCTTGGAGAAGAGAATTAGAGAGTAGATATATAATATATTGGAGAATAAGAGAATTAGAGAGTTAAGAATAGGATTTAGGAAGAATTGGAGAAGAGATATGAAAAAATGTTTAAGAGTAGGAGTATTTATAGGTTTTTTTACCCCCCACCCACCCCCCCCTACCAGCCAACCCCCCCAGACCCCCCCCTTTACCCCACCCAACGGCTATATAGCCGTTTGGGTTGTCCCCAGCCCCACCCCCATGGCCTCAACGGCTAGTAGCCAAAAAACAAAAAAAAAGTTTTTTTTTTAAATAGACCCGGACCCGGGCCCGGGCCCGACCCGGCCGGGCCGGGTCACAAAAATGATGAACCGAGCCCGCCCCACCCCTTCCCCCCGGTTCGGGCCCATACCCGGTCCCGGGCCCGCACAGTACCGGGCCAGGCCGGGTCACGGGCCGGGTGGCCCGAACCGAATCCAACCCTATGTAAACTTAGACCTCAATAGCCAGAATAACATAAACTAAGAACTTGGCACTACTAACGTGAATGCTCTAATAGACTAATACCACAAGTAGGGATCCATCCTTAAGAGTTGCTATTCTTCTGGGATTTGAAAAAATCAGATTTCAGAAAATCTTGGTCGTCTAATTGTACGCATTTGAATATTTGATACTTGCATAAGCCTCTTTCCTTTCAGTTAAGAAAAACATTCTAAACAGAAATGGACCACATAAATAGTATTTCTACATATTCACATCATCACATGAGAACATAATCCTACCAAATGCACGCAATAAAGAAAGAAAGAAAATAAATATATATTCAAACACCTTCATGTTCAGCACATGGAATTTTGACCTCCTTAAAGTATAGAATCAGTACAAAAGCTGAAAATGTCTCTGAGGGTGTATATATTGATAGTAATACATTCCACAGTCATGATTTCACTTCACCTCCGAAGCTATAATAACAACATAAACAATTGCAGGATGGCATATATCTATCATCATTTATAGTTTTGTACCCCAGGACACTTTCTGCTGTCTGTACCTCAATGCATCGGCTCATAAGACAAAATTTAGCTACTTCCTGACTTGAGGGTGTTACTCAACCTGGATAATTGATAACATAGAACAAAAGTATTAGGGAAGCAGTACATGTTATATGAATATCGGCACAGCGAAATAATATGAATGTCACAGGATATGTAAACCCAATTCTGTATAGAAAGATTTAGGCCATAAATATATGGTCAACGTAGGAAAGCATGTATGGCCTAGGGATGTATGTCGCCATTGGTGCGGTAAGGTTTGAGCACGGAAATCAAAACCCTTCATTCACATATAACAAAAAGAACCAATGAGACCAAGGACACTTTCAATTAGACTTATTTTAATCTAAAACCACATCTTACCTAAACAGACAACAAGACTAGATCAGTTTAAAAAAATAATAAAATATTAGACGGAAATTGATCAGGCCAGAAAAGGTTAGACGAGGTTTCAACAGACAAGTTCAAATCAAACTAACTCAGACTAGAAAATTTTCGAAGGATGAACAGGTCCTAACACTCAGCTCCACAACAAACTTATTTGTTAATACCTAGTATGCATTATTGAGTAAAATACATTAATGGTCCTTAAACTATCATCATCATATCGTTTTGGTCCTTGAAATAATAAATCTATCATTTTAATCCTTATTCTATTTAATCCATATTAATCCATAGTAGTTTGAGGACCAAAATGATATGATGATGATAGTTCAAGGACCATTTTTGCATTTTCCTCTAAAAGTATATAAAAAGAGCCAGTAAACTAGCCATTCATGACATAATCCAACTTGTATAGCATGGAGTGACATTGTTAGTGGAAGGTTTCACAAGCATATATTTTGACTATGAGGATGCAATCAAGAACCAAAAATAATATAAGGTCACAGTAGTTACGGATTCAAGCTTTACCAGTCCAATCCCTCAAAAAGGCCTTCTCCTTTGATGGCAGAAGTCTTAAAAATTGCCCATTGTCGACTCTTAATCTTGTGCAACTCCAAGGACTCCGTCACTGCAGCATCATCTAGTGCACCAGGAAGATCCTGTTGAAAATAGACCATCATTAAAAACACATGAGTCGCATGCAATGCATTGATGTGCTTCACTAAGCATGACCTCAAGGTAGGCGTTTGCCAGAGGACCTACAACTAATCATTAAAAAAATTGCACAAAAAACATAGAACCTGCTTGTTGGCATATATGAGAACAATAGCACCTTTTAACTCATCCTCCTGAAAAAAAAGATAATCAATTGCTTTTAACTGAATGAGAACACAGTGAATCATAGTCCCAAGAAAAGGTTTGTCATCACTTCACATCCAGATAAGAAGAAATTGAACAGATAAAAACAATTTATTTCTACAACTCTAAATGTCAAAAACTAGATAGAATGTATCAGCTCAGGCAATCTACTACTTGAAAAATACCCTCTATTTATTCAATGACATTGCAGCATTAAATAATACAACATCAAAACATATCTTTCTTTTTTATTTTGGGATAAACAATATTACCTTCCACCACTCTTCATTTATATCTTGTAGTTCATTATAAATGTTAAAAATGAATACACGCTTCCATAAATTAAACACTTTGATAAAATGACAGATGCATATATGGCTATATGCATTAGTATCGATTTCTACTAGCCTTATGGCAGCTACTTATCTTGAGATATTTTAGACACGTTTGCTTATTGCAAGGTTGACCCATTATATTTCAGGAAACAACCAGATTCTTTTGCATTCCAATGTGTCATGTGATGACCACCTGTTCTGTGAAAGGTATCCTTTAATTGCTCAAAAACTTAATGACTAACTGTTAGATTTTACATTTATTGGGATGCTGACTGTTGAAATATAGGTACTATGAAAGGACATAACCACCATCTCATTTTTCCGATATTTAATCTTGGCCAAGTCATTCAAAACTGCAAATTTCCACTTAACTTAAAAAGAAACAATTCCATCTTCATAGGTTTAATCTTGAAGCGCCAACACCTATGGTAGATTATTAAGAAAAACATTTCCTTTTCTAATCGCAAAAACAAGTATTTGGAAATGTATTATGTTTATTGAAATGTGTGGGCAAGATTTCATAATTCATACTTTGAAAGAAACATCTACACCACCAAAGTACCTCAAGTATGGCATGAAACTCCTCTTTAGCAACAACCAGCCTATCAGTGTCACTTGAATCAACAACATAGATTATGGCCTGAGTATTTGGAAAATAGCATCTCCAGTATGGTCTGAGTAGAAAACAATAGCCACTATTAATATTGTTGAAAAAGAGGAGAAATGAAGTTTGTGTGTACTTAAGGGGAGAATGACTCTAATATATATATACAAACATATATGCACTCTTTAACTGGCCACCTAGAGACAATCACAAGCCTAAACTATGGAACATCTACTTGAGCACAAGGGAGCTCCTTGTTCTTCCGTATTTCTCAAGAATCCCTGTAATGCACAAAAAATATTAGGCATTCACACAACAGAGAGCAGTGCAGTTTTTGGCAGATCTACTTTTTGCACTAGAATTGTAATTCTAGTTTATTAGCAAATTTATTCTCCGTCCTTGTTGCATTTAAACTTCTATTTCTAGGTAACTACTTTATTCTTTGGTTTACTTGGTGGTTTAAAAACTGATTCTAAAGCTCAACTACAAAAGGGGAGTTTATTCCATAATTGGAGGAAGAACTAAGAAGAAACCCAGGAGAAAGGGACTCCACAAACCTCAACTTTGTTATTCCCTGCATCTTTCTATATGTTCTCTACTGCACAAACCCCCCCATACCCCCTTCTTTAACGCACAAACAGTTTCAAGCTGGAAAGATAACACCATCTCTCCAGCTGAAACACGTGTGTATGTATCCAATACTAGAACCTC